CATATTGTCGAGGGGTTGTCTGTGTGTCTGTGTGTTCGTCTGTAACGAGTTTTCATCTCGAGACCCACAAAAGTTACAAGGTTGAAAATTTGTTGACTTAATCTACACATACGTGCGGGCTCGTATCCTCAAAATGGACGCTCAGATCCGCGTGGTTCTCACCTGGGGGCACGTGAAATTTTTTTGGGTGGGAAAGCGTTTTCGGGAACGGCCCATGCTAGGAGGCTGGAACTTCACAGAGATGTTCCTTGGCAGCGTCTAATCCAAAGATTATAAATTCAGCCTTCACGCATCTTCAGTTCTCACGTGCGCACACGTCAAAGTTTAAACTGGCATCATGCCAACTGCAGATTTAAGCTGACCGGTAGGCTGCAGGAAGCTGCAATTTGCAGCATTACTTGTCGCCGACTGTTGTGCCCGTGTAAGTAAATTACTTGTCAGCTGTTTTGCATCTCACGTACGGACACGTGAAAATTTCGCGCACGCGCTTTTATAACTTCAGAATTGAACCAGCCAGAGGATCTGGACTTTCTGAGCACAGCCGACGGCAACCTTTGACCAAATGCACGCAAAAACGACTTACACATCACTTTCACGTGTCAGGCACGTTTCACGTGTACGGACGTGAAATCTGACGTAACTCTGCAATCAGAGTAGCTGGAGTGCTGAAACTTTTTGGGCTTTACCCAAAACTGTTTTTGAGCAACTGCGGGCGAAGAAAGCATTCACGTAGGCACTCACGTACGAACACGTGAAATTTGACGTAACTCCGCAACAGAGCAGCTGAAGTGCTGAAACTTTCTGAGCGCTATCCATGGCCGTGTTTGAGCAGGCGCGAGCGATGAAAGCATTCATTTTGCCACTCATGTACGAACACGTGAAATTTGACGTGACTCTGCAACCAGAGCAGCTAGAGTGCTGAAACTTTCCGAGCGCTACCTATGGCCGTCTTTGAGCAGGCGCGAGCGATGAAAGCATTCATTTTGCCATTCACGTACGAACACGTGAAATTTGACGCAACTCTGCATTTAGAGCAGCTAGAGCGCTGAAACTTTCTATGTTCTACCCAGGACCGTGTTTGAGCAAATGTAGGCGAAGAAAGCATTCATGTAGCCACTCACGTACGAACACGTGAAATTTGACGTAACTCTGCACCCGAAGCATCTAGAGCACTGGATCTTCCAGGTATGGATTGGGATTCATTGTAATAATTTCTAACAGTCGTGGCGGCCAGTCCCAATTTTTTCAACTAGAAGTATCCGCCAGGAAGAACGTATCACTGACGAAAAAAACCTGCGGGGGGAACTGTGCAAAAAACGCTTCCTCGTACTGGCAGCCGGT